GAATGAGAAAATTAAATTAAAAGTGTTTGATCAGAAAAAAAGAAAACAAACAAAAGAGATCTTTCACTACAGAAAACAACATGCTGGTGTAAGGAAAGGAGTGGATGACGAAGGTGACGGTTGACATTGGGTGGCTTCAGCCTTCTAGGAAAGAGGTAAAAGCTGCCACTGAAAGAAAGGGAGAGACAAAACGGAGAATTACAGAAAGAAGGGGTACCGAGGATGAGAAAATAACCCTTCACCTGCCTGAATGCTTTAGCACAAACACAACAGCTGATAGAAGAACCAGCACAGGGTGGGTGGGTGAAGCATGGGCTCTGAAAATTCACAGAGGAGACAAAGTAGGGCCAGCAGCAGCACGCCTGTAACACGGTGCTCCACGCGACGGCCACATGGGAAGGTCCTGGGTTTTGCCTTCCGAGGTCTCCCTGTGCACGCCGGGGCTGCAGGCCCACATCCTGGCTGGCTGAGGCTGGGGATGGCTGCAGTGTGAAGACCCTGCAGGGATGCCTCTCACTCTCTCTGTCTCTCTCTCTTTCAAAAAAAAAAATGAACTTTTTTTAAAAGAATTATTTTATTTAGTATTATTATTTAATTTTCCTAGGGCATATGCGCTCACCAGAAAAACAGAGAGAAAGGAAAATGAGAAAGTAAGCCACCAGGCCTGAGACTCAGACCATGGCTGGCCATGTGGGAGTCTAGCACCTTAACCACCATGCCACCTGCTACCCCAAAATTAAAATAAATAAATAAATAAATAAATAAATAAAAGGTGGGTCAGCAGGTAGTGTAGTGGTTCAGGTGCTGAATTCCCATGTGGTTGACCAGTTGGAGTCCCAGACCCAACAGCTTGAAACATGCTGGGCATGCGTGTGTGTATGCCCACGAAGAGAATGAAGGAGAAGGCATCGTGGCATGACCATCCCCACAAGGGGTGATTTCTCACTTCCTGTCTCTGTCTCTTCAGCAAGTGCACAGGCCCTATAGCAAGCACACGCACACACACACACACGCACACACACACACACACACAACAACAACAAAACAAACACAACTCTCTTAAAAAAAAAGAAAGAGGGGCCAGCAGGTGGCATGGTGGTTAGGGGCACTGGACTTCAACATGGCCAATCATGGTTCAAGTCCCGGACCTGACGGTTCGCTTTCCCACTTTTCCTCTCTCTCTCTTTCTTTCTCGCTCTATCCCTCTCTGGTTAAATTAAAATAAATAAATAAATAAAGTTAAATACAATAATTCTTTTTTTCTTTTTTTGGAGAGGTTTTTTGCTATAGGGTGCGTGCACTCGCCAGAAAGACAGAGAGAGACAGAGAGACAGAAAGTGAGAAATCACCCCCCAGGGGGGGATGGCCACACTGCAATCCCTTCTCCTCCATTCTCCTTTCAGGATCCTGGGCACGCACACATGCACATGCGCCCAGCATGAGTTTAAGCCATCGGGTCCGAGACTCGAACCACAGTCAACTACATGGGAGTCCAGTGACATAGCCATTACACCAACTGCTGGTCCCCCAATAAAATAATTCTTAAAAAGAAAAGAAAGAAAGAGACAAAATAATACAAATCGGTCAGTGTCCTTGTGTGGATGAAATGCAGCAGCAAAGTAAGACATCTGAGACACTACCAGTCCCCAGTAGGGCAGAACAGAAACCCCTTCAATGGAATAACAGCCAACATCCACCAAGTTTTACAGTGTGTTCGACGTAGATCCAACCCTTGAGCCTCACTGGAGTTCTCACTGCCCAGAAGTCTTAGAAGAAGGGGCAGGGTGGGTGTAGGACTAGAATGAAAAGAGAAGCTTGTTCAGAGTACACCTACCAGGCTAAGGCTCTTCCCCCAGAGAGTATGATGCACCTTGGAAGGGGTAAGGTTAAGGCAAAGGGAGATGTGTATTTTGGTAAGCTTTCATGTTTTAAAATTTTATTTATTGGGACCAGCAGTTAGCATAATGGCTATGTTGCTGGACTCCCATGAAATCGACTGCAGTTTGAGTCCCAGATCCAGTGGCTTAAACTCACACCAGGTGTGTGTGCATGTGTGCCCAAGATCCCGAGAGGAGAATGGAGGAGAAGGGATTGTGGTGTGGCCATCTCCCCTGGGGGGTGATTTCTCGCTTTCTGTCTCTCTGTCTCTCTGTATCACGAGCACATGTGCCCTACAGCAAAAATCTCACAAATTTTATTTATTTATTATTATTATTTTTTAATTTACTATAGGGCACATGTGCTCACCAGAGAGA